GTGTGTGTGTGTGTGTGTGTGTGTGTGTGTGTGTGTGTATTTTAACTTGCCTGTGCAGCATATCTGGATTGCTTGCCTCCCCCCCCCACACACTTCTGCCACTCTTTGCTGCTTGGAAAGGTAATCAATTCACCTGAATTGCACAAGCCGTGCAGTCCCAGAATGTGCTGACAAAGGGGCCGGCAAGCTGCAGCTGCTGCCAGACATCAGCCCTGCTCATTTGCTGCCTTTCGTGTGTGCACTGGGGTTGGCTGGAGCACCCAACAGGCTGATCACCCTGAAATTGTGTTTCCCTGAAAATAAACCCTAGTGCTTATTTTGGAACCCCCCAAAATATACGTTCGGGTCTTATTTTAAGGGAAACATGGGTATATATTTAGGTTGGTTTTTTCAAATTGCCGTTGCTTTCTTTCTCTTCCTGATTTTCCAGCTTGTTGTATGTGTGATACAAAAAAAAGTAAGCAGTGCCAGTTATTTGCATAAAGGGAATAATCATGTTTTCTCTCTGTGTCCCAAATTGGCAGAAAACAGACAGTAACATTAGATTCTTTTATTGATACATATATTGCTTTCTATTTTCGCACTTGACAGAACAAGGAAGTGACATGCAAACGTGAGAAGTGCCCTGTACTTTCGAAGACATGTGCTCTGGTTATTAAGCAAAGAGGAACATGCTGTGAGAGATGTAAAGGTGTAGTGTTTTCTCATTTTTTAATTAATGCTAATTTTATGATATCATCTTTAATAATGGCTAATAAAAAGACATTATGTATGAATGGTTACCATTTAATATTTGTAGTCCAGAAAATCAAGATGAATCTATTATGATAATTGTAAAATAGGATTAAAAACAAAAAATCTTGGTTTTTATAATAGTTGTGTTAAGTGGACAGCAAGTCTCTATTGGAAGGAGTACTGTATTCTTCTAGTAAAGTGAAGCCGGGCATACAAGTGTTATCCTTTAGGCTGATCTCCTTCTTGTAATACCAGGTGGTCAGTAGATATTTTACCAAAGGTATCATTGACTGTAAAAGTATAGGAAACTGTCTTTGTTCTCATCATTATTAGTATGATAATATGGAGAGGATGTGCAGATTATTTGATACTTATAATGTCTACTCTATAAGGTCACTTCATCAGCAAGATAATCTGGTTCTTTTCCAGGTGTATTTTTTCTGTGTTGATGAACTGTTCAGTGAACAGTTGAAGTTTTTTATTTTCTATGTAAAAGTTGAAAGATGTTTTTGAAAAAAAAGTGGGATAATAAGGCAAGAAATTGTTTAATAATTAAACATTATTAGGAATATATTATTGATAAATATGTACGAACCTTAGAAAAATGCTATAATATTTTCACAGTAAACATTGCAAGCCAGGGGTCAACAAACTCATTTGACTTTCCCATAAGGCTAATCTTTTTTTAAAAAGTTTTTTATTTTTTCATTTTCATAACATATAGTCACTTTTATATTATTACATAACCAACATTATAGTATATTGTTAAATGTTGACATCAGTTCATCTTACCATCAACCTCCCAAAATGATCCTCTTCTGTTCTTCAAATGCCATATTTATACCCTATCCACCACTTTCTTCTCCCTCGCTACTCCTCCCAACCTCCTTTCTTCCCTCTGTCATCCTTCTCTACTTCCCCTTCTTCTCTCCTTTTCCTCTCTCCCCTTTCCACTCCTTCTTTCTCTCCTCCTCTTCCCCCTCCCTACCCTCTCTCCTATCCCTTTCTTCTTCCCTTACCTCTCTCCTCTACTCCACACTCTTCATCTCGTTTACTTGGTGTATTTCAGTCTCTGAGCTAACTCAATTTCATGTTGATGGTATTTATACTTATGTTTCAATATACATCTTTAATTTTAATATATATCCTCCTCCTTTTTTGAAAGAAAAAAATTATACATATATAATAATTATATTGTTTTTTTTTAAAAAAACAGCCTACTTTTAGCTGGGATGTCGACCTGGTTACAATTCCTAGCTATTCTCATCATTATATTTATATAGTTATACATCATTATGCACCTCAAATTTGTAGTTCTGTCTTTATAATCTCAATAATTTTTCATTATAAGTATATATCATGTCCCCCCTCCATTTTTCCATATCTTGACTTAGCTTACCCTTAATTGTCTTTAAATAACAATCCTTGCTGTTCAATGTTCATTACAATTCCATTAATCTACTATATAGAATAACAAGCGGTACACACCTCACTTTGTTCATCACCTTAAGAGTTCCATATGTTTCCATATTTCATAAATTTTAACCTATACTTAATTGTCCATCCATTGTCATATTCAATCAATTAACAAAGTTTAATTATCATGTATAAAATTCAATCACATATCTCTACTTTGTATTCTTCACACAACAGTTTCATATTAGTCCATATTCCATATATTTTAAACTTTATTTAATTATCTTTCTGTTATCATATTCAATCAGTTTGCAACTCAGTTTAATTATCATATATAGGAGTAAACCACATATCTCAGCTTTATATTTCCCATATAATTATTTCTAATCTGATTTTTTCCTAGTAAGTCTTTTGTCTCACTTCTCTATTCCTGTCTTCTCCATTTTCTTTGTTTTGACATGTCCACCCTCTTCAATTTTCTGCAAGCCACTGTCAAACCAATGAAATCTTTTGTAGTTCCCTTTGTTGGGGCATAACCCCCCTCTTCAGTTTTCCTTATGCCACTGTCAAAGTCAGTGAAATCTTTTGTCTGCTTTTTATTTCCTTTTGTTGGGACACATCCCCCTTTTCAATTTTCCCTATACCACTGTCAAACCCAATGAAGTTTTTTGTCTGTTTTTTTATTTTCCACCGTTTCTA